AAATAATTTTGTAAATTATATTTCTACATCCTTCCATTTCAGTCACTGACAGTTTTTACAGCATAAATGAGAACTGGGGACATGCCTGCCTTCTCTATGAGTAAGACAGGACATCGTTTGTCTTCCAATGAAATCAACATTGTTGAAAAACAACCACATTATACCTATAAAAAGGCTCAACAATTTTTCGGACAATGTCTTTCTTTAAGAAAAACTACACATGATGACCAGAGAATGGAAGTTAGTACCATTATGTTAGGAAATCATTACATAAGGAAATCTGTCATGACCTAGAAGCATCATCTGTGATAGACAGATACATTTTCTGGCTATTCTGGTCAGTCTTCATCAAAAATGACATAATAGAAATATAATAGCTTATGTTTAAAATGTTGATTTAATAGCACTTTAACCTGAGCTGCATTATCAAATCATCTTTTTGATAGTACAATAGGATTGGTACTGTTATGATGAAACAAAGTGCCTACTCTAACACATCCAATTCCCCCCAAACACGCTGAAAAATAGTAATTTAGCCACTGTGGCAAGACAAGAAAGAGTTAATTATTCAAACACCTGACTGGAGTCTCTCAAAATCTGCATGTCCAACAGCGAATTTTTAAAAAATACATTTTAGAAATAGAAATCCAATAGAAAACCACATTTATTGATGCTTAATAGTAAAGTATCTTCTATGTACTATGATCTATACAAAATGTAGTATTGCATTAATTTCAAAGGTGGTAAGATGTTTAAAATAAAAAGTTCATGGGATATGACATGCAACATAGCATTAAAGATATAAAACTAAACAATCCCAGTGCCTTAGCAGTATCCTTTTATATTTCTTTGCTAATAAGAGAAATTCTTAAAATGAAATCCAGCAAGCACAAGCATAAATAAAAGCTTTTAAAAACTTATTACAACATGTTATTTAGTAAGGTAATCATAAAAGCATTTTTATAGGAGCAAATGGGGGCTTTACCTATTAAAATCAATACAACTCACTTTAAGATATATTTGTGCTGCTTAACTCCTAAAATGAACCCCTCACATTTAACAATTTCTGAAAAAAGGATCTAAAATCATACCAAAGGTTTCCAAGAGTCATCTCCTGAAACCATCCCAAGAACCTCAGACTCTTATACTCTGCACAGCACTCAATCTCCCAGATACTAAGTTAGAATGAAAATGATAGTGGCATAGAAGCAAGAAATTTTAAACCAGCAGCAAAATCTGCCACGCTGTTACAGTCCCTCAAGTACTTATTCAGGTCCTCACTTCTCTCTAGCCCAGTGGTTCTCAACGTGTGGTCCTGGGAACTGTAGTATCAGGATCACCAGGGAACTTGTTAGAAATGCAAATTAACGGCCCCACCCCAGACCGGCCGAATCAAAAACTGTGGGAATGGAGCCCAGCAATTTGTGTTTTAACAAGCACTACAGGAGATTATGATGTACCCTAAAGTTTGAGACCTAGTCCTTCTCAAACTTTAATGTGCAAAAGAATCACCTGGGGAGCTTGTTGAAATGCAGATTCTAATTCAGCAGGTCGGAGGTGAGGACTGAGAGCCTGCATTTCTAACAAGTTCCCAGGTGTCATCTTCTGCAGACCACATTGCAAGTGTTTCCCAAATCAGCTGCTTACCAAAATTACCCAGGGTGTTTATTAAATACGAATTCCAAGACACCACCCCAGACCAAATTAGTCAGAATCTCGAAAGCCCTAGTAGAATAAAACCGTATATTATATAACATATCTCGGCTGCCATTAAAATCACCTGCGGAGCTTTTAAAAATCCTAGTTCCCAGGCCCCATCTAAATCGGAATCCCTGGGGCTGGGAGCCAGGCATCCATATTTTTAATAGCTTCCCAGTGATTCTAATGTGCAGCCAAGGTTGAGAGCAACTGCTCTGGAGTCTAACTGGCTCAACACCTGGCACAGTGCATCCCTTTAGACCTGTAGTAGCAAACGGGTTCCTATAAAATGGCTATCTGGACTCCCTGATGTATAAATCCAAGAGCTCTGATTGTGAATAGTAAAATACACCTAAAGTTATGTTTTTCTCATGTCTTGAACCTTATTTCTGTGGACAAACATGCCTGTACAATGCTCTCTGCAATGGAGTAGGTACTCTGCAATGGGATAGGTACTCAAAAAACGGCAGCAAAAGTGAAGAATGTGTATCCATACAGCCTGTTTGTATACTGACATCCCCCACAACCCTGAAACACATAGATCACTTGAAATTTCTAATAACATTTCAGAGTGGAATGGTAACTGAGGAATCTAGAAATTCTGAACCAATAAAAGATTTTACCAGTTACAGACATTCTGACAGAAAGGTCCTGGGAAGGGATGAAAAACACCGTGCTTCTTCATGAGAATTTGAAATTGTCAAAAGCACATCTTCTGGTGGACACAGACAGGACCTGAAATACGCTGCTCATGACATGACATTAATAACTCTGAGGGGAAAAAAACACCCAATATGTCTATTCATATCTTATGGCACCTTGTTATAGTCACACTAATAAGTATACAATGCTATTAAATATGTAAAACAGAAAAAAAATGTGTGGTGGTTACTAAGGCACTGTGAAGGGATCACAGTTATTCCACTCCATAGTCAAGACATTTTCCTGAATTTTCCACACTTCAAAAATGAGTTTAAGATAAACAAAAATAAGACATAGCTCTCTCTCTGTCCACTTTAAGTGAACTTTCATTCTCCACTTGGTCATATTCAGTGTCTACTCTAAATTAGTTGTTTTGTAGAATACATGACACATTCGAGGCCTGCTAAATGATAATAGTTATTATTCTCCTACAACCATTTCAATACACCCATTGTGATCATAAATGTGTCTTTTTTATCTGTTTAATTCCATGAAAAAGAAGTTCAGTGGCTGGGACATTAGAAGAGAAAAAAACAATATGAGTTCCTAAATACGTGTGCAAAGAGGCCACTGTTAAAATATTTTCAAAAGCATTTTCTGTGTGAACTGGTCAAGCTCACTTTACTTTTAAAATTCTTGTCATAGTCATTCACTTAACCCACACTTACTTTAAAATGTGTGAAAATAGCACCTCCTGAAAGCGTGTTCTCGTATGCTTTGGAGCAATGGAGCGTGAATACTAAAACAGCCTTTGCCAAACTCACGTAACAGCTCAAGAACCAAACAGGAGTGAATTTTTGCAGTCCCATGACTTTGCAGAGCCAATCTAAGTATCATCCCAGGACTAACTTTAATACATCACAGACATCCAAGAAAAGGCAGAAAAGTCACAAATAAGTGATTTAATAAGTGATTTCATAGATTTTTTACATGGTAGTCTTTTCAAAACGAATTTTACTTCTTATCCAAAAAATAATTTGTCTAAGTAAAGGTGTGGACTAAGGGTTTAAGTTCCTAGAATTAACACTATGAAATTTATAAAGATATTTAATTTATTTAACAAAGAGTCCTCCTGGATGCCCTTTCATGCATTTCTCATGAACCAATGCCCAAAGATGAACGGAGCCTAAAAGAAAAATGCACAGACCACAGAAGAGTCACACAAAATTAAAGATATTTAAAGCATCAAAGCCAAAGAAAAACAATACAAATGCACAATTTCCGGGACACTTTATTGTAATTTCCACTTTACATATCAATTTAATATTTTTAGTCTAGGCAAAGTGTTTCTACTTATCCAGTAGCAGTCCAATCCCCTAATCTCACAAAATGAAAAGCAGTTTAAAAAGAACATCAATTCAGGTATTTACGATATAGGGGACAAGGGACACTTGTCTTAGCTAGAAAAAGGGTTGATGCTTTTCAGAATGAGTTTCACTGAAATTTTTCTCTATTATTCTTCTTATTGATGCTAAGTACTCATAATAAAAACAATCGCCCTTTTTCTCATTCTGCCCTCTCTTGGTCTTTACATTCTGTCTAGCATTTAACTCAAAAAGTCAGTTTACACTCAGTTTACACATTAAAAAAAAACCATATGCCCCATCTCCCACACGTCCAAATGGACAGGGACTAGAATCAACCTGGCTTTTAGCTGTAACAGTGCTATTTTAAACAATTTCAACCACACACTTGAAGAGTAAAATGATTAAAAGTACAAAACCGAAGGAAACCATAAATATTCCCACACATTTACTTTTGGATTGTTTAACTATTTCTCAAATCCTCGAGTATAACAGATTTCTTAAAAGTGAAATCGACACAAAAGCGAATGCGCACGCTTAAAGTACAAACTGACAGTGGCTCTGTGAGGACAGCTCTTTGAATGAGACGGTGGAATAAAAAAAAAAAAAAAAAAAAAAGGTCTCACCCTTCAAAATGTGAGGAAGCCGGCGGTGCGCTCGCTTCACTAGAAACACATTTTAATGGGTACGTTCGGATAAAAATAGGTAGCAAGGGAAAATGCGTTTTTAAAATAAACCTTCCTCCTCCCCAGGGAACAAGGAAACCCTGATGAAAAGATGGGTAACCATCTACAAGCTCCGGAGCTAAGTTCCATCACTAGCAGAACAGAAGTTGGATAGTTGCTATTTTTCACCCAGCAATGGGACAGTAGCTCTTCATGTGCAAGGTATGCGGGGCGGGAATACTGGCAGGGCTTTCACATGGGGTAATGGAAACAAAGTGAGGAGAGGTCAACATCTTGAGTAATCCAGATCTGCAAAAGCGGGGCAGGGTGGCGGGTGGCGAAGAAGAGAAGGAAAGGGTCAAAACTCCTCAAAGTTATCGCAAAGAGAAAGCGAACACCTCTGCGAGCCAGGGGGCCATCCCTTGCAGCAGCACCCTGCTCCGGGTGCGGGGTGCTTGCCTCGGAGGGCAGAAAGCGCCGGGTGCCCTGCCTTAGATCGAATGGCTCTGGGGACTCGGGCAGCGAGAGGGGCAGGGGCAGCCGCCGGCGGGGAGGCGGACTCGCACTTTGCCTCAACTCTGAGCCCCATCCCGAGCGCAAGGGAGAGGGCGGAGGAGGGCACGGTACTCACTACGGCTCGTTGGTGAATCGAGGGGTCCGGGGCTGCTGGTATCCGTACAGGTGACAGTAAAGCACATCGAAGCAAAAGCAGCACATCTCCGCTGACACCACCATCTTCCGGGAGCCCGGCGATGAGGACGAGGCGGCGGACGATAAGGAGAGCGAGGAAGAGGTGGCGGCGGCAGGGGCAGAAAGTAGGGTCCCCACTCCGCAACTCGGAGGTGGCGACAGAGAGATCCCCCCGCCGCCGCCGCTGCAGCCCTGGGGGGGAGAGAGGGTACAGCAGCTGCCACTACCTCCTCCGGTTAGACCTCCCAGCCCGTTGAGCCGCGTACCGGCGCCTCCTAGTCCCAGCTCCCCGGCCCGGCACTGGCTCTCTCCGCTGCAGTGGGAGGAGGAGGAGGCGCCACCACCGCCACCCGAGCCAGAGGGGGGCGAACTGGACAGTTTCTGCTTCTTCACCCCGCAGCAACCCGCCGCCATCTTGGAACAATCTCCCCCACGCAGCGCTTCCGACCCATAAGTGAGGCGAGCTGGCGGCGGGGGCGGGCGCGCTGCGGCCCCGGCTGCCGGGGGGGCGCGGAGGGCTACCGGGGCGCGCGCGCGCGCC